TTTTATATTTAATTTTTATTAAATAAATAAAAATAATAAGATTTAAACTCGTTACTGCTTAGTCATTAAGACTCTGATATCATATTAAAAAATTATTTTAATCTAATAATTTAAATTTTAAAATAAATTTTATATTATTTTCTAGTATTCTGAATTGTAATATAGTACGTAGGGTTTTGTAATCTCTGTATTGTAGCGCTACATCTACATCTACAAACCCTCAGCAATGCCTGTAACAATGGATGCCCTCTAACTAAGCTCTAACTATATATGTACTGTAAAATATGGGCTGAGACACATTACAAATTGGAGCATGTGCGAAGGCCTAATGTAATTCCTAGCTACAAAGTTGCAAAACAGCCAATCTATTTTGCTAGTGATTGAGAGAAATTTTTTAAAGTATTTTTTATTTAAAAGTATATTAAAATATAATATTTTTATTTTTTAAATTAATTTTAATATTAATACATCAAAAAAATTTAAAAATATTAAAAAATTAATTTAAAAAAACTCAAATTTTTAAAAACATTATTTGAAATCTTAATATTAGATTATATGAAGACATCACTGGCTTGATATCTTTTTATATTAGACATAGTTATAAACTTATTTTGCTTTATTTGATTGGATGACATAAAAAATTTTAAATTTGAGATTGATCACTTAATTTTTAATTGAATTTAGTATAATATTGATATGATAAAAATAGTTAATTTAACTAGGTTTCTAATGATTTTATTAAACCAGTTAAAACTGAGTTAGAAACAAAATGAAATAATATTGTTTTAATAAAAACCTAGGTGATCCAAGCTCCAAAATTAAATCTATCAACTATTATAATAGCACTGCTTTGATAACGAAATATAATTAATCGGTTTCAAATATTTTAAAGAAAAATACTATGTATATGAATAATAAAATATCATATAAATTCATGTATGGTTGAGATATATATGATGAAATATGATACTAAACAATTTATTAAAAATAAAAAGAATATTATCATATCACTTTCTATGAAAACCTTGTATAATTTGTTAGAATTTATAGCATCATTTTTTTTATAAGCTAAATTTATTCTTGTAAAACAACCGAGGTATTTAAGGGACAATTGAATTCTTGATAAGGGTATTTAAAAATATAATAATAGTTATTAGTTATTTTAAAATGTATCTGAATAATATTTTATTTATTTTTTAAAATTTATTTTTGATATCAGTATTTTAAAATATCTGAAAATATTAAATTAATAATAATTTAAAAAAAATAAAAAAAATTAAATATTTTAAAAATATAAAAATAAATACTCACTCTTAGCCTAGGAGGATACAAGAGCACAGTCGTCCGCATTAAGCAGGTCGGCAACCACACGCATTCATTAAGGAGGTCAAACGTTGTACCCATTTTTAATACATAAACTTACCCTTATTAGTTAGTTCCGTACCCACACATCGAGCACGTTAGCGCCCACTCATTCCCTACTTTGCTAGGTCAACAGTGTTGTATTCGTTTTAAATAGATAAACTTAACCTTATTAATTAGTTTCTTTTTTAGGAAATATTGTTATTTGAAGTTATTGGATCTAAAATCTTTATCATGAGTTAATGGATTAAGTGATTGCTTTAGAATCAATTAAAATATTGTTTTATTTTAAAAATTGTTAAGACAAGTTTTATTTATGAAATTATTTTTAAAAAAAGTTAAATCATATTTTCATTTAAAAAAATTAAATTAAATTGATTTTTTTAACACAAATTTTATTCTTGTTCAATTTTAATTGATTTAACCTGGTTTAATAATATATTGTTATTTTTAGAAGTATATATAATTAAAATTAAAACATATACCGAGATCCAAAAAAAAGAATTCATATATACCATCTTTACCTCACTTATAATTTTTATTTTTATTTTTAATTTGAATGAATTGATTCTTATTCTTTTGCTTTACTATTTGTCAAACAACTGATTAAATGAATTATTTTTCGACTTTTCCACTCCTCTCTCGATGCATCCTTCCTCCTATCCATACATTGAAGTTCTTATAATATTTTTTTGGAAGATATGTGTTTGTTCTTAGTATATTAATTCATATATCCTAATTAATATTTTTTTTGGAAGATATGTGTTTGTTCTTAGAACAATCTTTGAAATTAAGTTGATGAAGCACTACTCTTCTTTGGTGACATACAACTAATTGCAATTTGATTCACGAGTGATGTGGAATTCAAAAGTGGCTATTTTGTTCTTGTCATTTTCCCCATGGAACTGGATTTGATGTTGCACAGGAAGAACAATAGGAGCAACTAGTGCCACAGGCACAACAAGAGCTTGTGTAGCAGCCGAGAAATTCTAGAGAGAGCTAAGCTATCACTAGATGGCTAATACAGCATCAGTAAGTGTCATTATATGTTGAGTGAGTTGATGTAGATCCATACGTGAACTTGATGAAGATGAAGGGAGGTCAATGACCCTTCCTCCTAGGATTTATGTATTATCCGCCATAAATACTTTGGAATCAGGTAAATGAGAAAGATCAGTACAAGAAATGAACAAGAGTTTTGTTCAAATTTTTATTCAGCATTATGTTCAGGAAATGAATCTTCTTATTCACAACTACATATCTGTAATTATTCTCTTTATATTTTTCTATATTAAAACAAATATCTTTTAAACACTGCACTAACTTACCATCAAGGTATTATTTTACAGGTATCTCCAGTTCAGTATTATCCGCAAAGAGAACTCGGGTCCTAGTAAAGTTTTTGAAAGCTTCATCTCACATCATCCTACCTAGCCAGGTATTCCCCAGCTTACCAAAAGTGGTGTGTTCCTTGCAGTAAATATTATTCCTATATATATTCCTTATCATGATTCAAGGGAGGCAAAACTTGTAGCTTTGGTACATCACCGACTATATAAAAGAGAGTAAGTAACAATCAAACCAGAAAAGTGAGATTCTCTAATTGAACAAACATGAAAAGCAGTACTTGTTTGTTTGCTTGCGTAAAAGAACAAGAATGGGTGGATAGTCTAACTGTGATTGTTTTTGGGTGCATTTCTGAGGAGGAAGATCACTGCTTTTTTACGATATGAGAGATCCATTAGAGGTAGGAAGTACGACTCTAGTTGGGTGGCTAGGGGTGGCCTTCGCGCCCCTCAAAGTCTTCAAATGTTTCATAATCCCTATTAAATTCCTGCAAGGTATTAATCTTTAGAAAATGGCCCTCCTAAAATCAAAATTATACATTCTAGCTCGGTCCAAATGTTGCAACTCTGGTTTCATACCTGATTAGAGGGGATTAAGTCGATCAAAATAGTTAGAAGTGAGTTGAGAAAAGCAAGAAACTTTAGACTTCTCAAGATAAATGGCAATTGAGCCAGAAGCTGATTTGACATATCGTGAGTTGAAACCATGAAGTAGCAAGCACTCTTGTCCATAACATCACTGTGTTTCACGTTTTTAAGCAAAAAACTATTTTAAAAAACACCCGCACCACAATCCCAAGAATCCAAGAAAAATGGCAGGTCGATACAAGTGATCCATGACACGCCTCAATTCCGGTAGATCACGGGAACAGTGAGAAAATCTGCTTGAGATCATAAAGGAGATGGAGAGGGAGATAAGTGATGAGCAGCAACATTGGGGACCCTTTCGCACAGGGCTACTAGCTACGACATGCCTAATTTGCAGGGTTTTGCCACGTTAATTAACTAGAAGGAAAGCTCGATGTTGTCGGCAGAAGGTTGGCTGTTGGTTTCTCTGGTGTGAGTCAACAAGCTGCCAATGGCTAAATACAGCCACAAAGTATGGGATTAGTGGACAATTAGGAGGATTTGTAGATGGAAAAGGATGTAGTTGAGCATGAGTTAGTGGATCCACTGATACACCTTGGAAAGTCAGAAGACTCCAATAATGGAAAAGGCGATGCACCAGAGAAAAGTAGTCTGGCCGCCCATCTTTTATTTCGTTGACATTAGTATCCTTCTATATTTCAGCGGCCAAGATTTCAAGGAGAATCCTTGCTTAATCATGGATTATGGTAATTAATAGCCATCATGACTTGCCAATTTAAGTTAGCCCTTCCCTCACTAATCGGTCTAGCCTTACAATATAGTTTTCTTGTTTTTTCTTTTAAATAAAATATTATTTTGAATAAATTTTATTTTTTAAGAAAATATACTAGAGTTAATCCGATTAATTCTTATTAATTTTTTAATAAATATATAATTAGATCAATCAAGATGGGTTATTCTAATATCTTGATTATAATAATATATAGATTGATTTTAAATAAAAAATACATGCTCATAATTAGTATGTTATCTTGATTGTGTTTAATAAAAGAGTGTTTGGTTTAGAGGTGATTTTGATTTTTTTTATAAAATCTGTATAAAAAAACATGCATTTTTATTTTTTTTAAATATAATTTTTATTTTTATTTAATAAAAAAATTTCCCTCATGCATCCCAGCCATACACACACTAATGGTTTAAATTAAGGATTATGTACCTGATTTTGAGGTAAATAGCATTTATGAAACATGAGAGATGATAGGTGAAGGGCATGACAGTCATCAAGCTAATCAAGACATGCACTTAATTATTAGAAACTTTTTCAGCCATAGCTTTTAATAGTGGGATTTTTTAGGAAAAGTTTGGAAAATAAAGAATAGATGATGATTTTTATCCAGAAATGAATCCTAAATTTCTAATCACCACTTCTCAATCATCTGCCTATTTAAAGCCCATATAACAGTGGAGTGACTTCCCCGCTAGCTTTTGTCAGAGCTCATTGGATTTCATGGAAACCGGCTCTATCAGCAACTTGAATCTGATAGGCATGGAAATCTCTTGTCAAGAATACTCATCCATCCAAGGGCCCTGAGAAGCGAGGGGGGGTTTTGGAGTGAGGGATCCCTCACCCTCCTCCAAAATTGAACTGTTTGCCTGAGCTTAGCCATTGTCGACTATGCTAACTACATAATGAAGCTTTTGCTCTAAAAGCTAGCTAGCAGAGTCTTCGGCTAATGCACGCCTGGCAAACCGGCAAGTCACAAAACGGCAACGGGCTCGGTCACGAGTCTTTCCTGGCTTAAATGTAGCTGTAGCATGGGATGTAATAAATAAAAAGGTCTGTATTCTAAGCAGAAGTGTCACCCAGATTTTGTGGTGAGTGTTCTTTGTCTGCTGTGATCACCAAATGTCTCTGTGTCAGTTTCATTATGTAATGAAGTACTAGTTCACATAATTAAATACTAATGTGAACAACTCTCCCTCTTATGTTCTATTTCTGAATGCATTAATCCAGTTGTTCTCTCTTTATCTTTTTCTTTTTTGTATTTCTAAGCCATCAGCATTCTAATCCAGTTGGGACATTCCAATTAATACTTATCAATTCATAAAGATTGACTGCAAAACCACAGAACAGAGTGTATGCTCCTCCTCTAGGTCCTTCCACCTTCATTCTTTCAGCAGAGTCATATATCACTTGCAAATGATCAAATCCTATCAGAACAAAAATTGATATTTTCCCATCATAATTGTAAACAAAGAGAATTTGCGTCTTCATTGCTTGTAATATGACTAGTAAAATGTACATGCGCATTTGTGACTCTTATCTCCCGCTCGACGTCAACATCCTATTTCAAGCCTGATTGAAAAACTTACAACAGAGGTTATAGTGAAGGGGTAATCTACAGAATACAAGTTCTCGACTGACACATGGTTTCTGCACAAACTTGTTCACTTTTTCCAAGATCCCAGGCCGACCTTCAACAGTGAAGCATATAGCAACTCATTCCAGGTATCTGGTACTCCAGGTAAGCACCAATGACTGCAATCTTGAGATCGCTCTGCAGCAATTCGTTCTTCTGCTGTATTGTACGTCATTCTATAAATAGAAGGATGCGCATCTTTTCTATAGGCTGTGAGCCTACTTATGTTTAGATAAATAACTGGAGTTTTGGTTTCTTGAAGCACATGTTGTAAAGCTCTCATTTTCGAAGGGTACTTTCCTAAGTAAGTTGTATTAAATATTGGCTCTGTTTCTTTGTGACACCGTCCTCCTGAGTTCCACTGGCCTCCTCTGCAATAAAATACCACATCAGAAACTTTTACTCGATAACACATTGCATGGACAAAGAAATAATATATGAAATCACCCTTGTAATTTCCCATTAAACATTACCCTTGAACCTTCTGTTGTGAAGGTAAAACTTGTGGATGAGACGTTGATTTTTTTCCAATCAGTAACAGTGAACTCCAACAACTAATCATTTTCTTACCCCCTTCGCCACTCTTGGGTAGTACAAGCATCTTTTTTTCAGAGGGAAGTTAGAACGATTCCGTCACCCTTTAAATATCTTTTATATGGCCACTGGTTTTTCAGCAGTTAAATAGTGAGCAGCAATTAGAAGTAACACAAATGAGAGAGCATAAAAAAGAAATGACATTAGCAGCTTATATGGTTTGGTTTAGATCTCGTGTACCAATGGAAAGGAAGAGTCGACCTCTTTAAACCATTATAACTAGATTATAAACTCGCAACCTCAAAACCCAGCACGACCATCTCACTAAGTTTTCCCTCAGACTGAAAATGGTAATGAAAAATCTGTGCCTCCAGCCTCGGGATCCTTGCAGTAGTAATTCTTCATCAAATAAATCTTCGCAACACCACATTAGGATGTTTTATTACTTGATTCATGTAAATAATGGAGAAATAAAAGCAAGCTTTTCCACAAAGAAACAAGGTTCAAGGATATGAAAGTAACAGAAAGACACACCTAAGTGAGCATGAATATGAACTATGACAATGAAGAAGGCATGCAAACAGAGTGCTAGTCATAACAATAAGCATTGGACCAAGAAAAAAAAAAAGCAAGAAAAAGTCATAACTAGAAGCTAAATAGAGAGCACGAAACAGTACTGTACCTGAAATGAGTAACTGAATAACCTCTGAATAAAACCAGTGTTCGATTTCTATCAATGTTCTTGTCGATCCATCTTGCCCAAGTCAAAAGTGCTCTCTTATATGCTTCCAGGACCTTGAGTCTTCGGTGTATATGATTACCTTCCTGGTAATAGTCTTCTCTGCGAGATAATAAAGTGCAAAACAGAACATGCAAAGAGGTTAATTCCTTGATTGGAAATGCACTCTGTCACATATAGCATGCAAATATCAGTTTCTTATGCACAGAATACCAGAGTGAAAATAGAACAGAACTTTATTTTGCAAGCGAAATAGCCTTTCCTTTCAGAGCTTCTGCAATCCATGGTTTAAACAACATGAAGGCTAGAGTATTTTACCAAAATAAACAAATTGTACTCACCCTCTGGAAGTTTTATCATGGGTCCACCAATGACCTGTATTAAAAATTATGACATCTGCATCATGGTACATTGAAGTTGTCTGGTCCATCAAATCCAACCTTAAGGTCTCAAATGTTCCATTTTTACTTTCGAAGGATGATTCTCTAACAAGAAATGGAGAACTAACAAAATCCACCGTGCAGTTGTAATCCTACAATCACAGCAAAGTATCAGAGACATACACATAGAATGAGCATTTTCTCGAAACACACTAACAATGTGTTCAGTAGAACGCATGGAATGAACCTGATTAACAATGTGTTCAGTATCAAGAAACTTGCCATAATTTTTATTTTTTTTTCAAAATGAAAAACTTGCCTCAAATCTAAAAGCATAGAAACCCTTCTTTTTGAATTCCCTCCTTCCTGATATCTCATAAACTCGTTTCTTCTTTCCGATGCTATTGCGAAGGATGCACACCAGAGACTCCCACATGTTCCTATTAAGGGAATCCCCAACAAAAACCAGCTTCTTTCCTCTTAATCTCTCAAGAAAATCAGTTGCGTTCAAACTGGACATATTCAGTAAATAACAATGAGATAAGAAAAGACAATTTATACCCGAAACGCAATGACTGAATTTCAAAGTTGGCCATATTAGTCTATAATCTAAAGATTAAATAAATACTTACACAACAACCATTAGTATTTTAATAGGTATGTTAACTGAGAAGTATTTTAAGAAATGCAATGAACCCGCTATGAATCTTTCCTTTCCTTTACTTAACTCTCTCTCTCTCTCTCTCTTTTAATTCAATCATGCATGTAATCAGCTATAGCTTATAGGTCATATATACAGAATAGCCCCAACTAATTGAACATACTTTTTCTTTATTTTGAAACTCAAAGTTTTAATTGATAATCCATCCCATGCAGGGTGATTTAATTCTTTGAGTAACTAAATAATAGATGTATAATTACATAACATTTTTCATGATTTACAGAATTTTTCCAATCAATCAAGCTTTCTAACCAACTTTCACACTACCTGCAGAAAATGATGTGTGGTGATTTTAACTTTATTTTTCACTTCCATTAACAAAAATAATAACATCCATAAAATTGAATTGAATTTGAGATAGAACATACCTTGGAATGTCACACCCATTTGGCTGCCATTTCCATTTAACAAAGCCAACATCTGGCCTCCCATTTCGGTGACAATCAAAATCCTTATCAATATAAGGACAGGAGCCTGGAGGATAGTATGGCTTCGAATCATCCCTCACCCACTTACCATCAAATATGTCACATTTCTCAAAGGAAACTTTATTATGGCCCCCTTGATCGCCTTCACTACCAGGGAATCTACCATTTTCTTCATTGCCCTCATTTTTATTTTCTGCAATAAGATTTTCTACAGATTTTCCTTCTGCGCTTCTCTTTGCATCTGCATCATCCACATTGCTAGAAAGGCTGTGATTCCCAACTTCAATAACACCCAAGAGGGGCCTCTCTAAAACCCCCCCATCTCCGCTAGAATCTATCAAATTCCCGCTTTTTGCTTCAGGGGATTTTGGTACAGAAGTTGCTTCATCACCAAAACTTCCATTTTGAGTAATCTCAGTGAAATTGCCGACATGGATTTTCTCTAAAACGACCCCGGTCACGTTAGCCGGGGGACTGGCAGTACTATTTTTAGGAGGAAAACGAGAGAAAGGCCATGAAACAAGAGAAGAATTATGAGTAACACTATTGAAGCCTTGAAAGAAAGGGGTCACAATTCGACCCTTGAAAGAAGTAGTGAGAAAAAAGAGAGAGAGTATTATAAGAGAAGCAACAACCCACAACAAAAATGGCTTCCTTCTGGGCGCAAGAAGCTGGTCTGGCAAGGCAAGTCCTTTAGATTCCATGGAGAAGAACACACAAAATAAGAAGAAGAAGAAAGAAATGTAAAGCCCGTTTTTATTAAAGGAATCAAAAATCAAAATGCAATAACCTAATCTAATCTAACAATTCCATTTGTGAAAGAAAATTGTTTGAAATCAAAAGAATCCATGAAAATAAAAGAGAGGAGTGATTTTCTGCTTGAGAATAAAAACCCTTGTGTTCTTCGGATAAATGTAGCAAGTAGGGAGTACTTATAATGCTGAATACTGTTCACTGCGATGGAAAGAAAAGGAGAGAAAAGATCGGTAGCCGTGTTCCTCGGCTGCTCCTGTCACTGGTGTGTTTCGGCGTGGGGAGAAAAGGAACTGCCATATAATTATCATATTTGGATAGTTACCACTTAATTAATTACCCATTTCGTTTTTTACTCTTAATTTTTTCATATTTTTTTATTTGATTTGTTCTACTTGTGCTGATCAAAATAATTAAGTGCATGTGATTTTATGTTTAAATCCATGTTTTTTGGAAAATAATTTCTTGAAGTGGAAGTTTATTGGAAAATAACATTCATTGAAGGTTTTCTATGATTTTTATGAGTTTATTGGATCACGATTTCTACCAGTCAATTCTTCGTCGTCGTCGTCGTCGTCATTATTATTATTATTATTATTATTAGGAATAAAAGAGTAGAAAATCCACCTCCAGAAAAAAAAAAAAAAAAAAAACTTCCCGTCGACATGAAAAAATCATCACGTGCTTGTTCGAGTAAGTCATAAATTTCTGACAGGGACGCACGCGGCACGAGCTCTTGATTCTCAGGGAGCGCCAGGGCTGGCACCGCCGTTTGATGCACTAATCATCTGAATCATAGCATAATCAAAGGCTAAATTTGTCTCTGCCCGGGAGAAAGAATCATTTCGGTGGCAGGATCACGCTGAAACTTGTCCGCCAGCTTCGTTGCTTCACCATTGTTTTTTCCGAGGAGAAATTATTTGGGATTTATTTAAGAATGCATCATGTAATTTTCTTCTGCTTTGATTTTCCGAGAAGAAATTGACCTTGTTTAAAAAACATCGCTCCACAATAAATAAATAAATAAAAAGTAAGAAAAAAATGTTTTAAATAAATATGAAATTTTAATTTTTTTCATCTTAAATGATATAATTTCTTCAAATTTTTATTTATTATTATTGTTTTTATTCAATGAACTATGCTATTGTTAAAAACACAACTTTTACGGTAAAAAAATATTACAAAAATTAAAAAAAAAAAAAGATAATTTGATAAAAGAAATTAATTTTTTTCAATAATTTTTTTCATGCAAATATATATTTTTATAATTATTTAACTGATTATAAAATAAATTTTAAAAAACAAAGATACAACTAGTAATAACACCTGGCCAAGGGCTAGGAGGATATGCTTGACCAGTTAGTAAAAAATTGTTTATTTTTATATTTTTATATAAAAAAATTAAATCATTTAAATTAATACCTTTTTAAAATATTTTTTCTTAAAAAAATAGGTTTTTATTATGTCAACTGATTTATAAGTGCACCCACTCGGCCACACTTGATCAACTCTCACAGAGTTTGCTTTGAAATTCGACCGGGACAACCGAGTCAACAGACTACCATGATGTCTCATCCAGCTTGACTAGGTTTAATTGTACTGCCGGCCTATTGACAAGCTAGAGACCACACTAAAATGCCCAGGTAAAACATTGACGGTGTGTTTTTTTTTCTTCCAAAATCTTTTTTGTTTTTAATTGCATCCCTTTATGCTTTAATTAATGACTAATTTGTCAAAATCTCTTCATGAAGGGTAAGATTACAAGACAGAAGAAGATCAAGGTATGAATATACAGATAAACCATGTGGCTGTTTAACATCTGACGTGAAAATTCAACGTACATCCTCTTCTGTTTAAGTCAATAACAAGTATGATTGTTTTTATATTTTAAAAGTATTTTTAAAAATTATTTTTTTATTTTTTTATTAATTTTAAATTAATATATTTTTAGTATTTTTAAATTATTTTGATGTACTGATATCAAACATACCTTTTAAAAAATAAAAAAATATATTAATATGTATTTTAATATAAAAAATTATTTAAAAAGTAATTATAATCATATTTTTAAATAAATCTTAACTGCTTGTAGTTTAATGTTTTTTATTTTTTATTTTTTATTTCATTTTAATTTTGGTTTGAAAGAGTAAAAATAGAATCATTAAATTTTGATTGGAAAGAAAAAACTCTCAATTGAAATTAATTTCAATTATGAAAAATATTAATTTTAATATTTAATTAATTAATTTAATTTAATTTCAATCATGAAAAATATTAATTTTGATATAAAAAAATAACATATAAAAGAAAATGTGAATGCATAAGGATGAATTTAAATTTTATTTCATTAAATACTTGAATTCCATAACAAAACACACAATCTAATGCACCCGTGTGTGAACAACCACATTAATAATTAAATATATATTTAAATTGTTAAAATATAATTATTCTTTTTACAAACAATGCTAAAATATACTAATCAAGGGCAAAAGACTGATTAAGATATCATTTAATTAATTTTTACACTACAATGACTAATTAAATAGTTTCGAGGAATTATAAACAACTCTTGTTTCCGTATTAATTTTAAAAACAAAAATTTGTCAAATTTCTATTTGTATGATACATCCTAATATAATTTATTTTATTTTATCTCCACATGTGTTCCGACTTTTTTTTCCTTTTTCTTGACCTAATTTTATTGTTCGGTTTTTATTGATTTTTTTTTAATTTTAATATTTATTTATTTTAAAATTGATATTTATATTTATTTATTATATAATTAAATTAAAAAATATTAACAAACTCACTAAATTTCTAAAACACAAATTTAACAAATTAATCATGTAAATCTTGTTAGAGTGCATTTATTTAAGTGTTTGTTTTTGCGTTTGAAGTAACCACAACCAAATAAATGTTTAATATCATTAAAAATGTAATTTATTTTTAATGGGCCTAGTGTATTTCACGTTTAAAATGCAGGTTTTGCTAAAGCAACTCTTGGTTGCTTTTCTTCTTCATTGTTTATTTTTTTAATGAATAGTTTTTATTTTTGAAAAACCAATGTAGTGAATTATTATTTACTCACACTATTCATGTTCATGTGAATAGTATTTTTTTAAAAAAAAACTAGTTGAGAGTAAATTAAATTCACTCATAATGTCATGTGAACAATATTTTTTCCCTTGACAAACTAGTGTAGAGTGAATTAAATTCATTCGTATTGTAATTTCAAATTTATTCTTATAATATTTTATCTAATTTTATTACACGCTCAAAAACTCATGATAACTGTGGTTTTTATCAGATGAATTTTATACGTAATGGAATTGTAGATGATTTAATAGAATAATAAGAAATATTTTATATAAATTATTATTTATTTCATAATATAATAATAATTAAATTTATAATATTTAAATTTAAAACCATTAATATATATAATTCATGTATTTTATAACTTTAATTTAAAAAGCATTATTAACCAAATTACTTTATATTCAATCTTAATTTTAATAATAATTTTAAACAAATATATATAAATATCAAATCAATATTAACTAAAACTAATTTTTATAAAATAATTTTTTTAAATCATAAACATAAAAAATATTATAATACCAACACTTTTAGTATATGAATAGTTAAGGGAGCAGTGACCTAGATTTTTACGTGTGTGTGATTGGATGGTTCGGGGGTTAACCAATGGATATTGCAGGGAGCCGGGTTGCAGCCCATTTGGTTTGTGGACCCTCCTAGTACATGAAGGCTGTGCTGGTGGATGTATTTCTCACATTTCTGGCTGCTGGACAAAATGGCAGCACAGGCTGAATTAAATACAAGTCTCTATGATCCAAGATTTGCAAGGGATCTCAGGTGGGAGCAATCAACTCAAACTGGCTTTCCAACAAAGAACCGAGATGTTTGTTTATACATGGCTTTCTTTTTGCTTTTTACAGATGAATACATGCATTCAACCACTATTAACAATGACATAATTTTCATCATCGAAGTTTTGCAACTTAATGTTTGATCAGGCAAGGAGGTCTAGAAGTGAGTGTGAAATGATTGTCACCGAGGACCAGAAAGCTCCATGGCTTCTACCACCAGTGAAGATTCTTCTATATAATCTGAATATCTTTGAGGAGGGTTTTCACATGATCTAAACCTTGGGGTCTCGACCCTTTGTGAGGCTTCCCATTTCTCAGCTAAACCATCACCTTCTAACATCTTTAGTACTTCAGACATCTTTGGACGGTGAGAAGGATTAAATTGCGTGCATAAAAGAGCAACCTGGACCATTTCTTCTAATTCAATTCTGTCAAAATTGCCTCTCAGATCCTTATCCACCATGAGATTTAACTTTCTATCATGATGGAGCTTCTTCACCTGGAACAAAAAAAGGAGCAAAGATGAGGTGGTGTTGATTATCTGAATTCAGAACGATCTTGGATCAATATGCTTTAACTCTATGCTTGGAATCTCTGTAATATAGAATTCTATCTTAACTGCCAACAAATGAAGTTGACCATGCATTTTTTTTCCTGATAATGTTGTAGGAAACACCTGATGCATCATCAGGAGCAGATATAGAGTGCTAACAAGCTGTTGCACAAGTAGGTGGAAATGTGGAATGTGCAATCTCAAGACAATCCACTTTGAAGTGTCCCAGATGCCAAAAGTCCACAATACAAGTGCTGAGTTCATCATGTTATCATTCAATTATTTATTCATGGTTGCAAATGCTACTAGGAGAGGGAGGGAGGAGGCAGGGAGAGAGGGAGAGAGAGCGTACCCAATCAAGCATGACACCTTTCTGGTTCGCTGCCCTTCCGAAATCTAATGCCTTCTGGCCTGTGATTAGCTCAAGAAGCAAGATCCCAAACCCAAACACATCAGTCTTCTCTGATGACTGACCTGTTGATAAATACTCTGGAGCAATATGGCCAATGGTGCCACGAACAGCTGTGGTCACATGGGAATCTCTGTGATCCAAAAGCTTTGCCAACCCAAAATCTCCAACAACTGCCTCAAAGTCCTCGTCCAACAAAATGTTGGCTGCTTTGACATCACGGTGAATAATTTTGGGGTCGCATTGCTCGTGCAAATATAGGAGTCCTCTAGCTGTACCCAGAGCTATCCTCTTTCTTCTTGCCCAGTCCAATGCTGCTCGGCCATGAATATGATCTAAAGACAGAACCCATAACCATTGAGACTAAACTTGAGGGGGGGCTAATTACAGGAAAATTTTGATTGGCCAAAACAATCAAGTAGGATGATATGCTAGATTACCATTTAGGATGAGAAATTTAACCTTAAAGTGATCAAATGAACTTTAAATGTGTTCATTTAAGAAGCTAAACTAGCAAATATAGCAGTTCCAATAAATATTTTCTTAAGGACATGCTGGAAGCATGGAGATGAAACAAGAGAATATCAGATTAAGGCTATATTTAAATTTCATTATGGCCACGTTTTTTTTATGTAGAGTCATGTCTCTGTCAGGGGGTGAATGCTTGAGATTCGGTTAGGAAAAGATATGCTGCCACAAGCTAGAAAATCATGGCACATTGGTCAGCATAATGGTGGTGCAATCAGGCACTTGGCACCTGGCGAGGAGCATGCCTTCAATCGTGGCAGTGACTGTCTAGATAGGTAGTGATGGTGGCTGAGGTTTCACAGGTTCTTAGAGTCACCTCAGTAGCTATTGTGCATCCGTGGTGTTACTTTGGTAGAGCCCACTGATGAAGTAGGCATATGATGTCAGTGTTTGAAGGATTGTCACAAAAGTAGTGGCATGGCAATGGTGAGAATGCCCCGTTTCTTTCAGTAGATTCTTTATGCGTAAACTTGCTATACGGTTCATCACCACATTTTGGGTTATAAGCACACCACATGCAAGTTTAATTCTTTAAACAAAATAAAAATTGTGCAATGATTACTAAACACTTAAGGAGTTATTTTTACTGACCTCTTAATTGAGATGCTACACTCCCATTCGGCATGTAGGGGTAAACGAGAAGCCTTTCATTCTCAGTCGTGCAGAACCCAGAGAGCCTCAGAAGATTCCGATGAATAGCCAAACTAATTGTTTCTACTTCTGTCTGGAATTGGATTTCACCACCAGCAATGTTATAGTCTTTTAGCCTTTTGACAGCCACCAGCGTTCCATCATTCAAGCATCCCTTGTACACGATACCAAATCCACCCCTCCCAAGAATATTCTTTGAACTGAAATGATCAGTAGCAGAACGAAGCTCCTTAAATGTATACCTTCTCAAATGGCCCAAGCACACCTCTGGGTCATATTGCTCTGACAAGTAACACATAGTTGAGAATCCAGGTATAACAGAAAATGCAGGAACAGGAATAAAAATAAACAAAATGAATAAATAAAACAACAATTGAAAATTGAAATAATACAGAAGTATTAAAAAATGTAGCCAAGAAAGTTTCATTGCATGGTGCAATGGTAAAGTTGCTTAGCTGCAACCTCAAGGGCAAACATAAGGGTACAAGTTAAAACTTTGAGAATATTATATGCAAATTGAGAATAAGAGCATTTGATCTACGTAAAGTATTTAACTGTAAAACATTTTATATAAAAAACATTCTATGATGTTTGATGCGTAATGGTTTGAAAAATATGATTATAGTAAAAATTAAAAATCATAATTATGTGTTGTGGTGATGAGATAGTGGTGATGGTTATGTTAGCAGTGGTGATTAGGGTGGAGGTTGAAGTGGAGATGGTGGGAGAGGAGTTATGGGGGCCCTACCAAGGTAGTGGTGATCGACATATTTAGATGAGATTGTTAATAGATTAGTATCCATAAAATATGTTACGGGACTTTATAAACTGAAAATATTTTTCAAGAAATAAACTAAGTTTAAGAGTTGATTGTAAAATATTTTACGATAACTAGTTTTCCATAAAATATTTTACAAGAAAAAAATAGAGAAAAATCAGGAAAACATATTCATGTAAAATATTTTAAGCAAACCAAATGCCCCCTAAACTTATAATTATTTGAAAAATATGAGCTAAAAATATTTTTCAAACTAAATTTAAGGGTTGATTGTAAAATATTTTATATTGACTAGTTTTCTGTAAAATTTTACAAGAGACAAATACAATAAAATCAGGAAAAACATTTTCATGTAAAATATTTTATGCATTTTATAATCGTTTGAAACTGCAAATAAAAAGGAGTCGTTACTGGTGCAATAGTAAAACTCTTGGGATTGAAACCACTAGAGTATCCAAATTCTCCTTCACTAGACCTGATTTTTGTGTAGCCTTGACTAAATCAAAGCTGCACAAACAATGCGGCAAGACATAACAAATACAAGCAGGTAGTTCGCACTTTCAAACAATGCAGCAAGACATAACAAATACAAGCAGGTAGTTCATCCTATTAGTTCAGACACAATTTTGGGGTGGAAGTAATGTTATATACAATGTGTTACAATCAAGTTGTCCTGAGTTCAAGTATAATGTCATTAGTGGTGGAAGTGACGCTGCAAATAGTGTATAACAATCAAATTTTAAGGGATAATATTTATTGTATTTCTTCCTCGGACAATTAGTACAAAACCTCATAGCTGAAGCCATTATAACAAGTTGAAAGCAACACGGTATGACTTTGATCATACCATTCCACAACTCACTTTTCCATAATGACAGGGGTCAGGTTAATAAGAACTTATACGGTAACTTTGTTCCATGCATTCATAGAACCACCAAAGGAAAGCTATAAAGTAAGAAGATCACTAAAGAAAGGAAAAACGAAGTATAAACTAACCATTGACATCAAAGAAAATTTGCTGGTTGTGTCTACATCGCCACCAAACAAGTAAACCAATAATTATTATGATGGAAAAAGCAGCACCAAAGCTTGCCCCAAAAGCAATAGCCACACGATGACTGTTTGTTTTAGAGTCTGATTGACCTATGAATCCAAAGAGCAGAAAAGAAATATAAATGATCTATTTTTGTGGAGACAACAAAAAAAAATACCAACGAACAAAATATTCAAGTGCATGATAGGCACAATTCAGACCATTAGGCGGGAGAGAAAGAGGCTCCGGAAAGACAGCAGAACAGGTGTCACTGGCCTTAGGTCCACAAATCAAACGGTTACCCGTAACTCTGAAATGAATAAAGAGGTTGAGATCTCCAATTAAGTAATAAAAATTGTAACTAGTACAAGGAGCAGGCATCTTTCAAAGCCAGCTAAACAGTATCTCACTT